TTCCGATCTCCCCAAAACCCCAAAACCCCGGATAGGTAAAATAAGTTGATAATTAAAAATAAAACTAATTTTTGATTAAACAAGAGTAAAATAAAATGTAAAGTTCTCAATCTTACTCAATGGGAAAATAGAAAAGAAGTAATACTCTATATTCCCTATATGTAATTAAGATTTTTCCAATAGGTGAAATTTTTGACAAAGAAAAATGCCTCACTCCAGCACCTAATCAGTACTTTGAAAGTTCTAATTAAAAGACATAATCGGGATGGAAGTGAGATTATTAGAAATTAATGAATGAATATTAGAATAGGAACTGAGAAAAGAGACGTTTTCAGCTTGGAAATCAAAAGCTCTGTTTCACCTGGTCCTGCTATCTATGATTCTATTAATGCTCTCCGATATGTAATTAATACCATAATGATTTGTTTCAGTTAAAGGGAAAGACTAATGTGATAACAGTGACTAATAGACACACTATATAAAACTAAGATTAATAAAATTAAGATCTGCGACAAGGGTCATTTGATAATAGAAGTAAAATCGCGCCTGGGCCTGGGTACTATGATCCATTTAAGAATAGTTTTGAAATTTCTCATAGAGAAAGGGCTAAAACCTAGCAAAGGAAAAGGATTAAAAGTTCTGAAAACATAAAGGAATTGATAATACAAAGAGAGAAAGTTTAGAGTCCTGGTCCTGGGCATTACTAAAATGAGGATGCATTCAAGCATGCATCATATCTTGGAGGAACTGGTTCACATTCAGGTTTTGCAATAAGTTTTACCAAAGGATAGAGAAATGTAAACTTGGATATTCAAAAGAACAAAGATTTACCAGGCCCAGGGCATTATTATCATTTAGAATTCAAAACTCCTTAAAAGAACAATGAGATAGAGTAAGATTAATATATTATCTATTCATCAATATATATTTTAGTCGAAGCAAGTTATATATCCAAGAATAAGTAAAATAAGTATACAATCCTGGGCCAGGAGATTACAAAATACTTGGCGATTTCCAAGCAAAACTAAAGAAAATTTAATAATAAAAACAGCGATAACAAGAAAAAAACAAGGAAATTATTAAGAAAATAAATCAGAGAAGTAATTCAATCCTAAACATGAGCTATGATAACTCGTAGAATCTTTTAAAATCAACATTTAGTTAGCAAAAAATGAGTCAACCTGGACCTGGTTAGTATAACCTGAATTCAACTTAAGATGTTTTAAAGAGTAATAAGCGAATCTTTATTGGGACATCTAGTAGACCCGGCTTAGAAAATAAAGAGTCTGTAAAATTCATTCCTGGGCCATAATATCTGCCTAATTTATCAATTTCAAGAAAATAATCATCTAATTGGAGTTTTTCTTTTGGTTCGAGGAGAAATTTTAATAGGAATCATTAAATATCACCTGGGCCAGGTGAATATAATCTAACTTCAATAGATAAAATATACCAACTAAAATCTAATCAAAGTAACTTAGATAATAAGTCCCAGAGCTAGTTGAAGGATAAATCATTTGATAGGGAGAAACCAGAATAACTTGGAGCTATTCAATACTTGCCAATTATGGAATAGAGTCATAAACGTCATCCAACTCATAAAATCGGCACTGCTAAGTAAAGATAAGATCTTGCAATTAGAGGCTAACTCGAAAGTCCTTCTCCTGATAAATACAACATTTAGAGTGTGTTTGATATAAATTAAAAGAAGAAGCAGGGAGTTAAATTTACTATTTCCGCTAGAAAGATAAACGAAATCATATAAAGAAATTAGAGTCCAGGACCTGGTTCTTATTTAATCCCTTCAACAGTTGCTAATATCCCATATTATGAAAAATAGAGATTGCTCAAAAGTAAATAATGACTATTTATATTTTATTTAATTATCTTATTTAGGTTTATTCTCAAAATTCAAATGGAGGGGTTTTGGGGTTTTGGGGTTTTGGGG